TATCAAGTGAGTGTTGTTATACGGCAAGGAAACAACTATTCCAATAAAGAAGCAATAAAAACGATTGAATTGCTAACAGCTCTGTTCGCTTCAATTAGGGTTAAATGGCTTTCTTGGATAACATTTCTTCGTGTGATGTAGCAATCAGTGCCTTATAGCAATAGTGTTAAAAAACGGCGGATACAGCGTACATCACAGACCAAAGATGTTTTGATTATGCAAACGACTCAAGATGATTATCTGAAGAAACACAATAAATCACATGGATCAAGAAACACGCGCAACGTTGAGTTGTTTCCTCGATTTCTCCTCTGCATTCAAAAGTATCCTTCGGTAGAAACTACTGAACACATATGCATTACTAAAGTGTCAATATCTTAAAATGGTTCAAAGACTGCTCCTCTTAATCACGTTCACAATATCTCACTAAGTAATAAATCTTCATCTTAGCAGAACAAGTAGTCTTGGAATTATTGAGGGCTCCGTCCCCTCCACTATTCTTCAATCTGTAGGCCGACTCCAATCGCAATGAATGTCAATGTAAAATATGCTGAAGATTTGACCATCATCTCACCGACTGGAATAATGCAGAAAGTTGAAGCTCACAAAAATGCGGTTAAACATTTGGCGTGTGGCCTGGGTATCATTTTAAACCATTCTACGCAAGTTGAATGCCGGTTTTTGACGCAGAATACTCAAAACGTGAAGCTCCATCAAATAAGGTAGAGAAATATGTGTAAATGATGAAATTACACCTACCGTGAGCGAGGTGAAGTACCTGGAGGTCCTGCCGTTTTCAAACTTAAAATGGTCCGCTGACATTATGGCTATTTTTAAGAAGAGCAAAATGTCACGTTGTAATATGCGTTGCCTGATAGACGACGACGTACAAACAAGACTAGAACAGAAATTTGTTCACACGTGTATCTTGCATACGACCATTCATTCCGGTCGAGCCACTCTTTTCAGACATGAACGAAATAAACTTTAAAATGATGCGCTGGCTGTTGAGTCTTGCATCGAGCATCAGTTGAATACGCATCAGGTATAACTGCGGAATAGGAGGATAAATTTGGCAAAACAGCTAATCGGTTCTGTAATAAAACATACACTGTAACTCGTCGAAAAGATTTTAGAAGATGCCAATCACTCACTGATGGCAGATGCCTCTCGCTATGAAGTGGTACACGATCAAAATATCGACCCATACACACCCGCATAGAATTTTACAAAAAGCCCGTCGTTCCTTTCATGTCGCATGTCGTCATTAATCAATAATGTTCCAGAGAACAACGAATTTCCCATTAAATTGTGTTGAAAGGCCTAGTTCTGCTGGGTGTTTGAAGCGGTAAATGAATTCTTGCACAGATATGAAAAAACAGCGCTACCAGGTACTTCCTTCGTTGGAACATCGCATTTCTGATGATACATATTTTTCGGAAACTAAATTTATGATATAAATTCATAAATAATATTAACTGTTTTATTATCATATTATATTTATATTATTATATATTTATATTTTATATTATTAGACTTATATCTGTTAAATC